ATTAGTTTGAAAGGATTGAACAACGTTAATATATAGAACCATAAAATTACTTGTTATGTCGTTGTAAAACGAGATAATTCACTTTTAATGGAAACAGTGATAAACAAATCCATGTTTTATATCTTCCTTCCTTAAATGCAATGGAAAAAATTCAACAAATAAGTATTTTATAATTTTTCAATTATATCTTTCAAAAAATGGTTTCACCAAGTTGTTGTGGAAAGTTTTCGTCTTCTCTGTTATGGAAATTCTTACATTAACCGAGTTGGGAACCTCTTTTGTCACGTAGGGACCCTCCCATATGGGTGCAAATTTATTCTTCCTCGTTTGATTCCTCAGGAGCACTTTCTCTCCTATTCTAAATTTCTTTTCCTTTTTATTCCTGTCATAATATTTCTTAGACTTCAATTTCGCTTTCTTCTGACTTTCTCTCACTAACTCATGAGAACGTTGAATCTGATACTTCAATATTTGAAAGTAATCATCGGAGTTGTAGAGCGGTGACGGCTTTTTCCTCAGCGTTACTGGAATCTCTACATCAAAACCAAACAAGGTCCTGCTCGGTGTTTGTTTTGTAGTCATATGAATCGTATTATTATGCACATGCATAGCATGGTGTAACCATTGATCCTAATTTGTACCATCTATGTTAGCGAAATTTCTCAGGAACTCTACCAGTGGTCTATGGCTTCTTTCCAAAGACCCATTCGACTGAGGATGATACGGTGATGTACAGAGTTTCTTCACCCCTAGTATCTTACATGTTTCTTTAAATAACGCAGCGGTGAAATTAGAACCATTATCTGTCACCAAAATCCGGGGTATGTTGAATTTTGCAATTATCTCTTCGAAAAAGGCCTGCGCTACTGTTACTGCTTCGGCATCTAGTAGAGCGACACAAATCATATATTTGCTAAAATCGTCTTGGAACGTCAAAAAGCATCTATTTCGACGAATATGGCAATGGGCCGACTATGTCCATGTAAACCTCTGCTCGCAAAATACAGTAGAAGGTCCTCACCTGCCTTTCCTTGCGAAAGAACGGCTCCCAATGCTTCGTTACTAGCATTGGTCGTCAAAAGAATGGTTTAAAAAAATCAGCATATTGTAATATGGGTGGATTAGTCACAGCTTCCTATAAATCATCCATCGCCTTTTGACACTCGTTTGACCAAATAAATTTTTCCCCTTTTCTCAGTAGCTTGTTTAATGGTAGGGAGATTTTCGCGGCATTGGGTATGAACTTCCTGTAATAATTTACTAAACCCAGAAATGCTTGCAACTGCTTAATCGTTTTCGGGGGACGTGTGTTCTTTACACATTCCGTTTTCGATGGATCAGGTAGGACTCCCTCACTCGAGCATTTGTGTCCCAAATAAACCACTTCTCGCCGCATGAAATGACATTTTTCCGTTTGCAACTTCAGGTTGTAAGTACGCAAAATGTTGAAAGCTTTCCTGAGGCGCTTGTCATGTTCCGATAGATTACTGCCATATATAACTATATCATCAAAGTAAACGAAACAATCCAGCCCTTGAAATCCAGTGAGTATGTTGTTCGTAATTCGCTGGAACGTTGCTGGGGCTCCCGTTAATCCGAACGGCATCCTAAGGAACTCATAATGTCCCGTGCTAGTACTGAAAGCCGTCTTATCCTGGTCCTGAGTGTCGAGAAGTACCTGGTGATAACCACTAGCCAGATCGAGAGTAGAAAAATATCTACTGCGGCCTAATTGGTCCAGAATCTCGTCAATATATCGTTTAGTTTTCTAAAAACGACAACGAGCCGCCAGTTTTTCTCCCCAGCAGATCCTTGTTTTTTGGGTACTAGAATAATCGGTGAATTCCAGGGTGACACACTTCGGACAATTACGTCGAACAAAAGTTTTTCCCGAGATTCAGGTCTTCGTATTTTATGGAAGGAGCTCATAAAAAAAGCTCAGCCAAATCATGAGGTTATTTTTGCCAAAATTCGTCCGGATAGAAAAAGAAATAACACATATTTTCTTTAATAAATAGAACAGTACTTCCACGAGCTTAGCCGCTTGAATGTGTATTCCAGTAGTCGGAAAATTAATATAATATTAATATAATTTAATTGTGAAAAATGCGTTTCGGATATCAAAGCAATATCTACATTATTTATTCTCAAGAATATTTCAAGCTCATGGGCTCTTTTATTGAGCCTGTTTGGATTCCATGTGATTATACTGAGGAATTGATTACTCATGACAAATCGTTTTAATTTTCTTGGTTGGTGGGGACAGGCTCCCCAACTTGTTCACTCTCTCATTTAACTCATAGTTGGCTCATTATCATTTATTGTTGCAGTTTGTGTTTTTATTGCATTATGTATCTCCATAGATATTTTTTCAGTTTGTGCATAACAGTCGGAGATTTGCATAATTTTGATGATCTTACTGCTTAACAAAACCATCGACCGAATGGTGCTTCGAAGTTGAGCCGAAACCGAAAAGAGCACGCCAAAGTCGGTCCAAAATCAAGGTTATGCTGACTGTTTTCTTCGATATTCGTGGTGTGGTGCATTATGAATTCCTTCCGGATGATCAAACGGTCAATAAGGAGTATTATTTGACCGTTATGCGTCGTTTGCGTGATGCCAATCGCAAAAAGAGGCCAGATTCATAGAAGGAAAACTCATGGATTTTACACCACGATAACGCACCGGCTCACACAGCTCACACTTTTTCCTCTTCCCCCGACTCAAATTACCATTGCGAGGTACGTGTTTTAAAACCATAGAGGCCATAAAAGAGAATTCGCTGCGTGAACTAAAGGCCATACCTTCGGCGGCCTATAAAACTTGTAAGGAAAATTAGATCAAGCGTTGGCATGCATTTATTGCCGCAGGAGGAGAGTACTTTGAAGGCGATAATAAAGAAAATTATTAAAAATTAAAATTTTGCGTTTTTTTTAACTTCTCGTTCTTGTTTGATCAAATGGTATATTATTAGTTACTAATAGAATTTACAACACTTTTTGTGGTTTGTGTACAAGATAATTGTTATAATATAGTATGTTTTGCATTAGTTTAAGCAATCTTAAATAATGAAATGTAAACAAAATTTGGTTCAATATAAACTGTCAATCGTGTCGGTTGTATTTACTTCAGTTGGCGGCGAGGATAAAAATCTGCAATTATTCAATCGCTTTCACGCTTATTTCGTACCGTTCAATTTTAAATACAATCATGCTGGGCGAAACTGAAATTTATAAGCAATTGCTTAAAGAACAACAAGAGTTTTAAAAAAATTTACTGAAACAACAACGTGAGTGGATGGACTCAATGTTCCAAAAACAAGGTACTGCCGGTGCATCTGAAAGAAATCACAACATTGTTCCAGTATTTCACAAATTTTCGAAAGAACAGCAAACCTGGGAATCGTACTTAGAACAACTTAACCAACATTTTTTAGCATATTCAGTTCAGTGCAGTGAAAAACAAAAATCATTTTTCTTGTCTTGGATTGGCACAGAAAATTTTGAGCTGCTAAAAAATCTTTTCGGTAACACGAAAGTACAAGAACAATCTTTCGAAAATTTAACGAAAAAACTAACGAATTATTTCCAGTCGAAACGACATATGGTCGCTGCACGTTACGATTTTTTCAACAGGGAAATGAAGCCACATCAATCATACAGAGAGTGGGTAGCCGATCTCCGCGGATTGGCAAGAGAGTATAATTTCTTGTGCTCAGCCCAGACGATGAAGCAAAAATAATAATGGTTGTCAACACTCCACTTGGGTTATTCCAATACCAACGTTTACCGTTTGGGATTGCAAGCGCTCCAGCTATATTCCAAAGATATCTTGAGCAGTTACTTCAAGGCGTAGAAGGTTGCGGAAATTATCTCGATGACATCATCATCTCCGCACCTACATTTCAACAACACATCAGCCGCCTAGAACAAGTACTTCATATTTTGCAACAAAATGGTATCAGGTGCAAGCAAGAAAAATGTTTCTTTCTGCGAGATAAAATCGAATATCTCGGGCGTCAAATTAGTGCAAAAGGTATATTGCCAGATGAGTCAGGACTAAAAGCAGTCAAAAACCTGCAGCCGCCTAAAGATCTAAAGCAAGCAGAAGCATTCATGGGTAAGGTAAACTACAACCATAATTTTATACCCAATTTTTCGCAATTATCCGCGCCAATCGACATGCTGTGCCGAAAAAATGTTAAATTCACATGGGGTACAGCACAACAACAACGCATATTCTCAATGCAGCGCAATTAGCACATTATCAGGAAGATTTACCGTTGGTTCTAGCTACAGATGCCTCCTCCTATGGCATAGGAGTCGTGCTCTCGCATACGTACATTGACGGTACAGAAAGGCCTATTGCTTTTGCATCTAAAACTCTCGACATTCATCAACGACGATATAGTCAGATAGAGAAGGAATGGCTAGCTATCGTTTTTGGAGTCAAACGTTTCCATCAATATTTATACGGAAGAAGATTCACCTTGGTTACTGACCACAAACCTCTTGTTAGCATTTTTAATCCAAATCGTCAGTTGCCGTCGATGACGTCACATTGTTTACAGCGATGGGCTATTATACTAATGGCTTATCAGTATGATGTTCGGTATCGTAAAACTACTGAGCATGGAAATGCCGATGCTTTATCTCGTTTACCTGTTGGTGAAGATATAACTTTTGATCATGAAGAATCCTGTTTCAACATCAATGAACTTAACACACCTATCGACGCTGAAATAATTCGTCAGCATGCCAAAAATTACCCAATTCTTCGCCGAGTTTATTTTCTCGTTACAAACGGTTGGCCTGAAAAGCTAATGCCTCTTCGATCATTTTTCAATCATCGCTTTGCTTTAATACTAAACAACAATTTGCTTTCCCTCCAGACGGAGTACAACCGGGTTGTCATTCGAGCCTCCCTTAAGCAGAAAGTTCTTAAACTTCTTCATGATGGTCATTGGGGAGTATCGAGAATGAAACAGCTAGTTCGACAACATGTCTGGTGGACTAATATTGACAAAGACATTAACTGAAAATTGTGATGTGTGCAAAATTGCAAATCCTGTTCACGCACGTGAATACGTAAGCTGGCCTGAAGCTGATCGACCTTGGGAGAGAATACATAACGACTTTGCTGGTCCATTTTGTAATTCAATGTGGCTAATTTGTGTCGACGCTTTCTCGCAATTTCCGTTCGTTGTACAACTATCTACAAAAACAACGGTTGACACCATATCAGCATTGTCTTCTATATTTTCTCTGGAAGGTATACCAAAAACCATCGTAAGTGACAATGGTCTGCAATTTACAGCTCAAGCATTCAAACATTTTTGCTCAAAACTTGGCATCAAACATATAACAACAGCGCCGTTTCATCCAGCCTCAAAGGGGTTAGCCGAACGATTCATCAAGAATGAGGTGTGATTGGTCGCGAATTTAAGATGGCTTCGATTTCAATCTGTGCTGTTCCAAGCTCCTCAAAGGTGAATCGAGTATTTGATAATGTTCGATACAGATGGCCTTTCGCGCTTTTTACAGCCGCTTTCCATAGACCTCCAAAGTGAGGTGCTCGGGGCGGTATAAAATTGAAATTTATGAATTGGTTGCTGCAAAAGGTCTGCAGCATCACTTGATTAGACTTATCGAAAAACATCCCTTTTAACTCTGCTAGTTTGTTGTTAGCCCCAACGAAGTTTGTGGCGTTATCGCAATAGATATCTGATGGTAACCCTCGTCTACCGATTAATCTTTTCAGTGCTGCAATAAATGCTCCCGTAGATAAGTCTGACACGGCTTCTAGATGAGCTGCCTTTGTAGACAAACAAACGAACAAAGCTATATAGGTCTTATATGGAACCCGTCCCCGAATTCGGAGATACGTTAATATCGGACCACAAAAATCTACCGCAGTACGCGTGATTGGACGACTTGGAGTGAGGCGTTCAATTAGGAGATTACCCATCATTACCCATAACGCACGCAGTGAATACACGAGTGCACGACTCGGCGTGCAATTTCTGGTATATTAATTATCCAAAAGTTTAGTCGAATAAGGGTAATTAATGCCTTTGCGCCTGCATGATAGTTGCACAAGTGTACATGCCGAACATAAAGTTCCACAAAATAACAGCCCTTAGGCAACAAAATAGGGTGACGTTGGCCTACTGAGATGTCACTCAGCTCGAGGCGACCTCCCACCTTAAGTAATTGATAACCGAATACATTGTCCAGGAAGGGATTTAGATGCTTTAATGTACCTTAGGCTGGGTTGCCTCGTTGTAGGCGTTGTATATCAATTTCGAAGAATTGCTGTTGGATGACCCAAATAATACAGTGCAATGCCTTTCGTAGCTGAATAGGTTGGAGGGTACATTCTCCGTTCTTCAATTTATTCTTGGTTACATGATAGAATCGCTGTACCTGCGCTCGTAGCATCTTGGTGTGTGAACTATATCTTGACAATACCTGTGATACGTAGTTGTCTTCATTTGTGTTAACGAATACAACCTTTCGCGTCTCTTTATTGATTTCTTCCATATCCAGGTTGTGACATTTCAAATGCGGCCAGTATTTATCAGCGAGTAACGAAAATTCCGGCCCCGCAAACCAACAAGACTCTCTTAATTGGAGGATGTTACAGCCGCGCGACACAACATCTGCCGGATTGGATTGGGTAGGAACCTGTCTCTATTGCCCATTTGCGGTAATATCTTGAATTTCCGCTACTCGATTGCTAACGAATGCAGACAGGGTTAATGAGTGCTGCTTCAACCAATGTAATACAATCTGTGAATCAGTCCAAAAAAATGTTTCACACTTAAAATGCGCAAATATTGCTTGGACCTTCTGATACAGTTTGGCAAGAAGTAAGGCACCACAGAGTTCTAGTTTAGGTAGCGACTTCCGCTTTATAGGTGCCACACGGGATTTTGCAGTGAATAGTCTGACCGTCACCTTATCTGATGTGTTTTGTGATCGGAGAAATATGCAGCAACCATATGCGCGTATTGAAGCGTCACAGAAACCGTGTACATCAACCTGTTGATAGTTTATTGTTAGGCAGTATCTCGGCACCTTAACCGATGAAAGCATTGTAAGATCTTGAATAAATATTTTCCAAGCTGAGTGAAGATTTTGAGGGACTGACTCGTCCCAGTCCACACGCAAAAGCCACAATTCTTGCATCATAATTTTTGCTACGAGTATGATCGGTGCTAGTAATACAAGCGGGTCGAATAATGAAGACGCAAGGGATAAGATGGTGCGTTTTGTTACAATATGACCTGGTTGCTCATTGAACGAAAATAGGAAAACATCTTGCATTTGGTGCCACTTGATGCTTAGGGCGCTGGTGACTGTATCTGTATCAAGATTCAAACTCTTTGTTGTAGTATCGCTGATGAAGTCATGATGGTTTGAATGCTATTTGTCGTCGACAAAGAACGATGCTTTAATGAGTGCAGCGCCTATTGGGTATTGTGCTTCAAATTTGTCCGCCAAATACTGCAAACTCCTGGTTGCTAGGAAAGGTGCTGATGCAGTACCATAAGTGACTGTATTCAACTCGTAAGTACTAACAGGATCGGACTCCGTATCTCGCCAAAAAATATATTGGAATTTTCGATCTAGTTTATCTATCAGTATCTGTCGGTACATTTTAACAATGTCAGCCGTCAAAACATATCGGTGCAAACGAAATTGAAGTAGCAACAAGTATAACTCCGACTTAATATCATTTAATGAGCGTTGCGACATGACGCATCAAAAACCACCCTCAGCTTGGTCAATGTGCTCGACGGTTTTAAAACACAATGATGAGGAATATAATAATGTGGTTCGTTGGTTGTCGGAATCTCAACACGCGTCATGTGTCCGAGCTCTCGATATTGTTTCATGAATCCTTGATAGTCTTGCTTCAGTGCACGATTAGATGACAAGGGCCGTTCTACAGAACAAAAACGGCGTAAGGCGATATTGTGTATCAAACCAAGACAATCTGGCGAATCTTTAAATGGTAACCAAACGACTTCCCGTCGCATTTTGGTGGACCGTTTCACGGTATAATGACTCACATGCAACATGTGCTGGTGACCTAACTTTGAAGCCGGTTGCACTTCCTTTATCTTCCACATCATTTCTAATTGATCGGAAACTGTATCTTCAAATGATAATAGGCATTTTGCTGCTGGTGATGCAAATGGCTGACCATTGTACTTGCCAGATACGATCCATCCTAATAGTGTTTTTTGAAGTACTGGAAGATTTTCACCTAGTTTGATTTGACCGACAGACAAAATGTCAAAGAAACTTTCAGCTCCAAGCAAAAGGTCAACGCGGTTGGATTTAAAGAATTGCTCATCGGCGAGAGGTGTATTTAGTGGAACCTTCCACGATGATATATCGATTTCAGAACTTGGTTGATATGCGATGTGATTCGTAATACCAAAGTTTAAAGCAAGTTCAAGATTTGAATGACGAGATTTGATTGATGTAAGCGTCTGATACTTCATATTGGTCAACGAACTACCAATACTGGAAACATGCTGCCGATGTTTATGTTTTGATAAACTAAGCTTCTTTGAAAACTCCTCCGTTATGAAGTTGACCTGAGAGCATGAATCAACTAAGGTTCTACCCACTTGATAACTTCCCGATGAGTCCTTCACTAAAACCAATGCAGTGGCTAGAATTATTTGCTCGGTCGATGACATGTTAAGATGGGAATGGCTGGCAACGTTGTCGTTGGGCATAGCGGCGTCTTAATATTCGTTGGTAATTGCGAATGATGCAAAAGAGTGTGATGTGGCTTTGCGCAAACCTTACATTTAAACGTTGATGTGCAATTAACCACATGATGGCGAGGCGATAAGCAGTTTATGCAGAGTTTTAGGCCCTTTACCTTTTGAAACCTTTGAACCACCTCCAGTGCCTTAAAACGATGACAATTCAGTATTAGGTGTTCATTGCTAGAACAAAATGAGCAAGAACTGCTGGATGTAGATGCAACAAATGCGTATTGTTTTGAGCGTCTGTTAGTCTTGGAGTTAAGATTATTAGGTTTACGTTGTGGTAATGATTGAATGCCGTTTCCACTGTCGAGTGATTCGAGAAACTGGCAATGCCTACCCAACAATTTTGAGCAATCCTCCCAACTGGGTAATGTGTCGAAGTTAAGCGAACAGAGTGAACCATACAAAGCGGATGCATTGTTTACCAGACTACGGAGTTGTTGGCTTGACTGACCCGATACTGCTGGTAGATCAATTAGTGTTGCGATATTTTCGGCGAAGATTAGGCTATTATTGTCATAGCGCGATTTAAGCCAATCCAGAGTCTTCGGATAGTTTTCATTCGAAATAGGAAATGCCTGTACTGTCTCTAGAGCTTGACCAGTAAGGCAGTTCAGTAAGTTGTTAAATTTTTCAATATTTGTGAAGTATATTTCGCGATCTATGATTTGGAGAAACGAATTAATAAAATTGTTATAATCAGAGTACTTACCACTGAATGTAGGTAATTTTAACAGTGGTAATTTTTTACTTGAGGTGGGCATCATTGCTGTTACATCTAGCACTGATGCATTGTGGGCCTATTCCTGCAGTTGAGACATGATTAATATTTTGGTGGAAACGTATAGGTCTTCTAATTAATCTCTAGCTGTGTCAGTTGCATCTAATTTCTCGATAAAAGTCTGAAAAGCTAGGATTTGTTTAAAATATGATTTCAAAATACCTAGTCGACATTTCAGTTCTGGTTGTGAAAGCGAATTGCTCTTCCCTTTGACGAACGCCTTGATCCTTGAAATGCTCGCTTTCGTCGAGGCTCGCTGTTGTTTTAGTTCTGACAGTTCTGCCGTAGTGGTTCGCTCTGCCGTTGCCATTGAAACAGTTGTAGATACCCGAGAACACCAAAGGATTTGATGAAGTCGAAAGGTCACAATAGCAGCAGCGAACTTTCCGAAATTGAACTGCTCTTACGGTGGTTGTTGTTAAACGCGACGTTGACGAACCCGCACACTAACTGATTGGAAGCAAATAATAACCAGTAATCAACAAGTAAAGTTATCTTGTTGCTATTGTTGTTGTAGTTGTCGAACGCGACCTTGATGCGGACACGAGGTTCTATTTGGAGCTTAGCGGAACCTAAGCCGAGAACCATAGAATGCACAATAGTACACACGTACGATAGTATGATCTTTATTTGAATTTATTTAATTTATACAATTTCGGTTTTTGATTGTTTAATCACTTTTTTGTGTGAAAAAAAAGGCAATAAAAACAAGAATAAGAACCGTTGGTTTGATTACATCTTATACAGGGTTAGTTAGATAAATTAATTAACCATATATTAACCATATAAAATATTATATATGAATTATATAATATATTAATTATAATAATTTTAGAATCCTACAATATTAACAATTTGACTTTAACCGCTCTAACAATCGTCAAATACAATAATCCAAAATTTAAAACGTGTTATTTTGTGAAGATTTTAAATATTTATATTAATATTTACTATTTATTTAACAATTATTTAATTTATATATTAATATTTGAATACTTATTTGTATTTAAAATCCAATTTAAACCAAATCGAATGTGAATTGCAATACATTTTTATGCTAATTAATGTATTAATTTAATCGATTGTTTTCAAAAGATTTAAAAACTTAAAATAACTTCTACATAAAAATCACTTTTTCTGCTGCATGGGCGATACGCAAATTTATGTGAACGCTCCAGTGCATAGCAAAATAAGTTCAACGAAAACCAATCATCAACTGAAATAATTTCAAATAATGAGTGTTCAACGAAGTCAATAACTACTAAAGACCGAAAACAACTCGAACTCATTTGAAAAAAATTACGACACTTTTTTACACCAAAAACTAGTTAGTGTATCTCACTCTTGGAGTAAACAATGCCGTATCCCACTTATAACCTCACCTCATATGCTCAAGCTGGTATTTTCCCCAACAGCGCATTCCTGCTCAACTTCGACATGTACTACAAATAGCGTCACAGTAAGCACTGCAAACTCGACACCTTGAGCTCTACATCAACTCAGATATCCGTTTCTTCTACTCATGCCTTACCTTTATATCCAACAACCTCGGTAAGTTCGATCGCTAATATATCAAACATTATACTGAACGAAATGCCTACTACATCATCTTGCGCTATGCTCTCGACACATGTGCACAAAGAGCAGAACAGTCAAAAAATTCTCCAAAAACATACTCAATCGAAGGGCAATACTCACTTCAAAGAAAACCCTTTAAGCAATTCTCTTGAAAACTCTTCAGTACAAAAAATCAAAGTTTAAAAAGAAAGTCAGAAAAGAACTCGCTCAAGTCCCGAAATTCGCCGTTCAAAAAATGCTGAAAATCTGAAACTCAAAAACAAGCTAAATTAGATAGTTGCTGCCTAGACAATCCAAGCCGTTCTGTAAATAGATTTTCAGTACTAGAAAATAAGAAGAAGAAGCTGAAGAAGTGATGCAAGTTGCCAAAAAGGAGCTCAAACCTCCACCAATATTCGTAGATAGTGTGAACAACATAAATCCTCTCATAAATCTTTTGTCCTCACAAGTAGGAAACAATTTTTAACTAAAAGTTTTAAACAACGAAAAAGTAAAAATCCAAGCGAAAACCACTGAGTCTTATGTTACGATAGTAAAACAACTCGAATTGAAAAAAACTGAATTTTATACCTAAAAGCCTAAAGATGAACGAAATTTTAAAGCTATTTTGAGAAACATACATTCGTCTGTCAACACCGAGGACATTAAAACAGCTCTGGCAGAAATGGGCCATAAAGCTCTAAACATTCTTAAAGAAATTCACCGAGGTCATCAAGGCATAGGTCGTACCAAAGCCATCGCGCGGAACTACGTTTATTGGTCAAATATCGATCACGATATTGAAGCAATGGTGAAAAGTTGTTCAAATTGTGCCGCAGCAGCTAAAATGCCCACAAAAACAACTTTACATCCTTGGCCAAAACCTTCTGATTCTTGGGAACGGCTCCATATTGATTATGCAGGACCAATAGATTCATACTACTATTTGGTCGTAATCGATGCGTTCTCAAAATGGCCAGAAATTATACAAACAAAATCTATAACAGCAACTCAAACAATTTCCAGCTTGAAAGAAATTTTCGCTAGATTTGGGTTACCGAAGACAATAGTTTCAGACAATGGTACTCAATTTGTGAGTCACCAATTTCATGAGTTTTTAGCGGAAAACGGCATTAGTCATATACGAAGCAGTCCGTACTATCCCATGTCAAATGGACAAGCCGAAAGGTTTGTGGATACTTTAAAGCGAGCACTCAAAAAGTTAAATGGGAAGGGGGTAACTGCTGAAAATCTTCAAACATTTCTACAAGTTTACCGATCTACTCCGAATAAGCAAAATGAGGACAGTAAATCGCCAGCTGAAGTTTTACTAAAAAGAAATATCCGTATTAAACTTGATTTGATTAAACCAACGCTGGTGTCAGACCCAAATGCCAAGTTTAAAAACAAGTGCGATACACAACTCAAAATGAAAGCGCAATTTGACAAAAGGCACGGTGCAAAGCCAAAGTTTTACGAAAAACAAGAGCTCGTTTATGTCAATATATTCAAAAACAAACACTTTGAATGGACAAAAGGTAAAATAATCGAACGCATAGGTAACGTCATTTATAATGTTCGCTTACAAAATGGCAAACTTATTCGTGCACATGCCAATCAAATTCGTGACCGTAAAGATCAAGAAAATGAGTTATCTTTAGAAATATGTACTTCCGAAGATATCGCCAACGAAAAGTGTTTAGTTGATGCATTTGGCCTCTACGAAACAACACCTAAAGATGTGGTCGAAATAACTAACAACAACATGGTTTCGACTCCAGATCAATCTTTCAACAAAGTAACCGAGATTGCAATCCCTCAAACTGAGAAGCACAATGAGGCAGTTGTTCCGTATACCCGACCAAGGCGTACTAGACATCCTGTTGACCGTTATAAACCCTAGAATCACCGCATTGGAGATTTAATCTCAAAAGGGGAGGTGTTGGCAACTCTGCCAAGATGACAGTTGACAGATAAAGTAGAATTAACATTTTACTTCTGTCAGTTATTTTGAACTTGTGAAATAATAATAACTTGGAGTTAGTTTGAATAAATAAATATCTAAATTATACAGATATAACATGGTACTTAATATGAAACACTGAGAATCGAAAAAACCACTTCCTCTCTTCATTGTAGAACTTGAACCTCATCAAAATAACAAGGAGATCTACAGCATAAAGAATTTGATGCATAGTCGTGTCAGGCTCCTCGTCCTAAACGGGACATTCTACGGTGTAGTAACTGCCAAGACTATGGTCACACGAAAAGTTATTGTCGAAGACATCTGAGGTGCATCAAATGTGCAAAAAATTATTCTTCGTCTCAATGTCCAATCCAAGGAAGAAGTACTGAAGTCAAATGCGTCTTATGCGAAGGAAACCATCCTGCAAGTTATAAAGGTTGTTCGATCTATAAGCAGCTAAAAACCGCAAAATTTCCAAAACTAAGACCCAAACCAACATCAAATACAAACAAAGAAACTGACGAAGGAAAAGACAAAACTTCTATCCCAAAGGCTCCCAAAAGAAGTTATGCTAGCGTGCTAGTGAAACAATCACCTGAATCTATTACTATTCCAAAA